CGGTTGGTAGTGTGCGTGTTTGTGTGTCTTGAACCTCCTGCCATTCTTCACATTTCAGTTACAGTCATTAAAACATGTTGGGGAAATATCCCATTCCCACAGGTAAAAGCAATATAGTTATTAATATCACGGAACACACATATACACTCATCACTAGGCGGGCACAGTAAATGGCGGCAAAGCAGAGCCCAGATAATGCCAACAAAGAAAGAGGAGACTCCCTTACATAATAATGGTTTGTCGTCTGATAAGTGCCATAGGGAGTCCAATAGATTCGTTCAGCATAAAAATGCAAATAAGAGATTTATCAAACTGATAAAAAGGTCCAATATCCAAACAAAAAGACAAGTGTCCTTACAATGCATCCATATCCACTCAAACAAGGGTTAACTGTGCAGTTGCACCACGGGAACAACGATCAGCAAAGGACAGTGCAGCCCAGCACACACATCGAAACAAGAAGCAGCAATAAGGGACTGTGCACCAATACAGGACTGCTGCTGCTGTCACTTAACTGTGCAACATTCAAATGCATTGAAACCGAAGTAGAAGATTCAGATGACGTTTTATGAGAATCCACATCATTAGTAGTAGTAGAGGCATTGAATGATTTATTGTCTTTATTAGAAATTCCCTTAGTGCCCTTTTCTTCCACCCTCTGTTCTCTATTTGATTGGCTCTCCATCACGCGTTTTTGCGTTGTGGTATTGTTTTCCTCTGGTTTTATGTTATTGACCCTTTCATCATTACTGGACTCTTTAGTTATTCCAGTGACTTTTGTCGTGTTCATATGCACATTCTTTACCTCTTCATGAGAGCTGTGCTGCAGTTGTGCAGTGTTTTCTTCTTTCGTATTAGTCACCATTCCGTGGCTGCTCTCCAATTTACTTTCTACATTTTTATTCCCCGGAGTAACCTTGTCAGACTCTTTTTCTTCTTTAGGAAATTCATTCTCTGAAGTATTCTGATGTGAATCCGCTGTTGAGTCTTCAGGTTTAAGACCATGTTTCTCCAAGTACTCGTTAAATGCTTGAACTGCCACTTTCAGAGATTCTGCCTGTTCCTCCGCTTTCTTCGCAGTATCGAAGGCCATTTGAACCCTCGATTTCCTTTCTGCAACGAAAGACAGAGCTTCTTCACTTTCTCTTTTGCTGTCCCTAACTATCTTCTCCATTTCCAAAAATAAATGGTGCGACGACGGTGATACTTTTGGAGGAGAATGCTTAAATTCAGTAGCCTCGGAGATGATATCGTTAGAAAGTCCTTCCACCTCAGTTAATGTCTTGTTAAGTTCTTCGGCCGCCTTTCTTGTTTTGTTCAATGCTAACGTGACATTAGATAGGACATCATTGGCTTCTTGTAGTGCAGTTTCAAACTTCTTCCGCTGTTCTTTCATCTCCTCGCGACTGGTAGAAGTGTGAATCGGACTCATCCCCGCCTCCGCTCCTTTGGTGAGGCTCTCCAGTCGATCCACGGCATTTAATGCACGTAAAGAATAATCATCACATGCACCAAATTCTTTATCCAAATCAATTAGAGAGTCTTCTGCAACAATCATTATTTTTTTTAACTCATTCTGCATATCTTTAAACTCCTCAATCTTCTGTTTACAATTATCGTCATTCACACTTGACTCATTCGCATATGCCACACACGTACAGAAGTGCAGAAGTACCAACAGGTACACCACGCGGCGCAGTTGGACGAACATCGTTGTCATGATTGTCACTGTGGGTTGCTTGGGTCTGTGGTAACAAGGAAGAAGAGAAAGAAACA